AACTCAAAGTTTAGTGATATAAATTCTCGTTTATAAATAGGGATTTGTATAATTGATATTTTAGATAAGAGGAAATTTATCAGTACAATTTGTAGTCGTTTCAATTTTTGTTATATAACATTGTTTTGCTTTATAGTGATATGCCATTCAACGCTGTCTACCCAACATTTCCTGCAGTTTATGATCTTTCCTCTCTTTCACACGTAATAAAGAATACGGCTACAAATGAATGCTCTCCATCCTCTTTGCTTAGTCTTTTTTGGCTTTATACTTTATGCTTTATGCTTTTTTGGCTTTATGCTACCGTGACATTATCGATTGTATATCCATCATGTACTAATCACCCCAATGAGGGATATCCATCGATTTTATATATCTAAGGACTGTTTTAGTCCCGTCCACCATACATTATATATTATGTTCATGTTCGTCAGTAGGAGATGGTATCGAGGTATGTTCCTCCCGAGAGAGATAATTATCGGTGGTGCGGTCTCTCAAATTGGTATTACATTTTGCTTACCATGCAGCAAACTAATAAACACTTGAATTTTAATTGTTGCCATACAGTTATCAACTCTCCCTACTCGACAAAAACTTTCACGACAGATGGGATTATTTCACGTAAGTGTGCATGATCTTTTGTGACTTACAACACGTATCTCTGCGTAATTTATATTGACTTATTATATACCTGAATGACCATCCTTGTACCACCTTGGATATATAAATATATATATATATTACGTTGGACACTATGTGTAGATATATACGGATCAATTGACTTAGAACTCGATTAAATCCCTACCAATCAATGATCAGAAATCGGAGTATTCATTTTCGGACATTGTGAACTGTCAGTATTTGCAATCTTCATTCGAATAAATCTTTTTCAATTATAACTATTTTCAATTATGGAACACCAATCTGCTTTTCCGAACCAAAGTATGTTTTTCACAACAGCAATTTATCATTAAAAAAAAAAAAATTAACTGACTAACCGTTTTCACCTGGCCTTAGCTCAAGTAGATATACAAATTTCACTCCAGCTTTTGATTTAGCCCAATCATCCGAGCCACCTGATGAAGGATCTAAAAGCGCAACTTTTAAATTGATAAAAAAAGATCATTAATTGTTACCTAATAATTTACAAATAAAATAGAAATTTTCCATAAGCGTATAATAAAAAATACGCTAAATTAAATTAAAATTTATTAGAATTGATTTATTTTAAAAGAATAAAAAGTAAGAAGATTTGAGGATGGCGCAAAAGGCATACATAATATGTCAGCGCCTGTACCAAATCGAAATTTTGTTCCGTAAACATTTTCGAGTGCTTTCACCGCTCTTCTTCCAACTTCTTCCTATACGTAATAATTCTTATGAAGAAATTTTATTTATTTTTTATTCCGTCTTTCCAACCTGATTTTGCTTATTTCAATAGAAAGAGAGAGAGAGAGAGAGAGTAAAGGAAATTAAAAGGAATAACAAATTTTGTAAAATTTAAAGAAATTGATAGATTATTTTTAATTTTTTTCGAAAAATCTTGAATTTCGACTTGATATATTCTCTTCTTTTTAAAATTTTTACTTTATCAAAAAAGTGGACAAAGATTTGCTATTTTTAATTAAAAGAAATAAAAAAAAACTCTGTTTCCAAAATTTTCTCCTCCTTTTTTCTTTTTTATTTATTATTTTACAAATAATTCAATATTGTTAACTGTTCTATTTATTGCTATAAGATAAAATTGCTTAAATTTTCACATTTAATTAATTTATCAGGAATGAATTCTTACAAGATCGTTAATATCATTGGGAAATACATGACGTTGATGACTGTATGGATGAATCCACATTTGGCTGTATGTGTGCAATGTGATAAAGGCATCAACTTTACCAAACATCTCCACTGATAACAGTTTGTCGCGTATTGCTCTAATCAATTATATATCACTATGCATAATTAGAAATAGAAAAAGTTTTAAGAAAAATCTGTAAAAATTTATTCCATCAATTGTTTATTGTTGTGATTATTTGGAATGATTTGATATTTCATTTTATCAACTGATATTGCTATCTTTTATCATTGTGTGACTATTTGAAATTTTATGTAATGAATGATTCGATTGCATTTCATTTCTAAATTAATTTCTATAAATTGCTAATAATAATTAATTCTTTTATTTTTAAATTTATATTTTGAAATTTTTGCTAAACTTGAGGAGGGAACTGAATAGATTAGTGAGCGAATTATTAAATATTTCTGGAAATAAATGTTGGTTAATACATAGGTTACTGCAATAATTAAAATCGGCAAATAAAATTAAAAATTATTACATATAAATTAATAAACGTTAATAATCTGTAATTCATACTGTTTTTGTAAAATTTTAAGAGAAAAATTCGGTTAAGATTATTAGATGATAGGGAAGTTAATGATCAGTAATTTTTGGCAACGGTCAATTTAAATAATTAATTAAAAAAAGTCATTAAACGATGCGTTGTTTCAGGTTCGTTACCTTGTTTCAGGTTCGCTAAATGGCTTGCTCCCATGATAGATTTCGGAACAGATATGTGAACTCGACCCACTTTCTACAATTCAAAAAAAAAATAAAAAAATTATAAAAATAGTTTACTTATACATATTAAAACATTAGATTTTCAATAACTAAAAATTATGTAATCTAATTTATAACTTATAAATCTAATTACCATATGTAGCTTGATATAATTTCTAAAATTCGAAATAAAAAAAATTGTAAGGAATGTTTCAGTTATGAATTTGAAATTACATTAGAACGAAATTTCCAATTCTCCATGCCAGTAATTCATTTCATTCAACAACTTTACAACTTAATTTTCAGTTCACAATAAAATTCTGGCTTAAAATTATTCATTGGATACAATATTAGTTTCAATCATCTTTGAAATTATTATTTGTAAAAATCACGAAGATTTAAAATTGATTTTTAAACATATTATTGAATTCAAAAAAAACTTATCATTTGTTTTATTATAGTTTAAAAAAAAGATATCTTTCTTCTAGGAAAAATAATTATTTTCTCAATTTTTCTTCTTTTTCTTTTAAGTTCAATGAAAGAATAAACTGGATTATAAAAATTTTATGAAACAAACCTCCCCAATAAAAATCGAAATTTCGATTTAAATCAACACCACTACAGCAACGTTGACGATGCCAACGATCCTTGAAGCATATTGTATTACTNCGATTTTTCCTCCAAAATCTTGCCTTGAAAAAAAATTAGTCAAAATTTAGCCTAAATTTCTTCACTTACTTGTTTTCTTATATTAATGATATTACTTATTATAGGTAAT